GATTATTAGCTATAGAAATGGCAATAATCTATCTTTAAATAGTATCATGTTCAAAATCGATAAATTCCTTAACGGATCGATTTGAGAAGTAACAATAGGTTTCTTTAAAGCTGTCTCTCCTCGTTCCTGAACACATGGTCCCAACTCCGACAAATGATGAAGTCTCCTCTGCAAGATTTTAACCGCTCGTTATGGAACGTAAAAAGTTGAACACGTGAGAAAGAATCGTTATTAAAAGACTGAACAATTTGCTGCTTCATGACATCCATCCCACCTTCCCTAGAACACACACACACACATATATATATATATATATACACACACACATACAAACACACAAACACTCAAACACAAACACACATAATGTACCTTACCGCGTCTTCTTTTTTATATTCAAACTTATAAGAAATTTATTTTAAGCCAAAACATAGGCGGAAACGGAATAAAACCACGAAAAATTCCTGCATTTACGTCTTCGATGATTTATTTTGATCAGTACCAAAACATCCTTGTCTATGTTTATTTACAGGCTCTCTTCAATGCAATTCGAGATAACCCAGAAAAAAAATTCTTGAATTCTCCGTAAAGGTTCAAATCTTCAAAAGGATGCGGGGGAGAGAGTGTTACTCGCTTGTCGAGCAGAGTGATGTAGTTGTACGTGTGTACTCGCTTGTATTTTCCAAAACTGCTTTTTTTCTGACCGAAAGATTAGAAAGTTTAATGAGATGCGATTACAGCTGAAGCAATTGCTTGTTCTTAAGTAAGGGGACTAATGATAGAAAATATTGCTTTGTTTAAATCTCTTGACTGAACATGTTATATGTAGATGAAAACGTTTCGGCTTTGAAGTCATTGAAGAGTGTCTCAATGCCTCCAAAGGGATTGTATTTAGCTGCAATCTTCCTCTTATCCCGTCGAAATTGGGTTTCTTTCTCTGCTTTAGAATGTTTCATTCTAATTCCATTTTATGTATGCTTTTGTCTTATTCCTTACATTCCAGTCTAGATCTAAATGTACTGGTTCTTTATAATTAGATTGTACTTCGAGCTTAAATTGTCACCTTTGTCATGGATTCACTCAACACAGTTGCAACATTGAAAACGTTGAAATTCCCTCTGGTTCTTTTTGAAAGATAATTAAACTGATGTTAGCAATAGAAGTATGATTTTGCAGATTTAAAAACATTGAATTTTTGTCTATTCTGGTTTCTCTTTGCCTCGTCACTTCGGTTTAAAATGATATTTATGTATAGTCATGACTGGGAACCATGAAATCAGTTTCCTGGTTGGAAATATTACAAATTCTAACAGAACCATTAGATCTAACACAATTTAAAGAGCAAACATGGATACATTATATTATAATTAATATTATAATACACACACACATACATACTTTTATAAACATACATTA